GCTTTTAATCAACAAAAATCGCGTTCCAGGACGCGAGAACGAAGGATAATACGTCCCGCCTCGTTTGTCCCAGATTGATCGAAGTTTTCTTGCTTTCCTCCGCCGAAGCGAGAAAGAACACTCTGCTGCTGTTTCCTAGCGTCGATACCGTAACCATAATCAAGGAAATCCGATCACCAGTGACGTGACCTTAACAAACGACGGACCCTCTTCTCTCCCCTAGCTGTGTTTCCCTTCGCTTCTTCCTCGACGCCTCTTAAATAAATCCTCTCCCGTCTGTGTTATCTCAGACGTTTGTTGGTCCACTGGTTAGATTATCGCGAACGATCCCCTTCTATCCCTCCGCCTGTTTCAATCAACAATGACCATAGTATCCCCGGCGCCTGGCTTCGGTTACAAGAACGATTACACCCGCAACTGGTTGCCTCTGGCCACTGCCTGTTGACCTAGAAATCTCGCACACTCCGGTATTTACCTTAGCCGATTCCAGCGGCCGATCACGCGTATCCAAAGCAACGAGACGGTTGATTCTCTGATCTTTCTCAAACGACGTTTAAAAATAACACAGCCCTCCTGCGTGTGTCGCATATGTTACTCGCCACGATCCACAAGTGTTCTTCAAGACGCAACAACGAATTCTGTCGTCAAGCCAGCCGCGCAACCGTCGAACGAAAAGACGGCTCGATGCTTGAAAACACCCCGACACATTTGTCTGCGACCTCCACCTGACACCTGCACCTGCCTCCTGGCTAACGGAGCTTCGCCACCGGTTCAGAACCGCAGCTCCCCGTCCGCGTGCGGATATTTCCGGCACAGGGTGCAGGAGCCAAGGATCGACCAGCTTTTCCTACTTCAAGCCTTTTCGTTGCGTGGTTACATCTGGGCGCACCTGCGAACTCGCGTCCCGGGTAGCATCCGCCTCGCGGATCGCGAGTTAAAGCGTGACTACTCGCCGAAACTCGACCGAGAGTCCTCGACGGGACAAGCTTTCGTCCGAAGCGACAGGGCGGGGTTCCAGGCGCGCATGAGCGCGTGTGTTGCCGTCTCTCGTTCTCCGCCATCCACCCCCACGTTGCATTCTTCCTTGTTTACGCTCCTGCCTTGCTCCCTTTTTGCCCGTCTTCGCGCCGCACTCGCCCGTCCGCCCGCTCGTTCGACCATCCATCCGTCCATCCATCCTACCATCCCGTTATCATCCTTTAATTGCGATCCGTGATTAAACCAATTTTTTGATATCGTCTTTTAAAATGGCTTCTTTCGGCGAAGGGTGAAACTCAACAATTTTAATTGTTGAATGAAAGGGGGTTTTCAGATGGTTTCAGATGGGCTCGGAAATTCGTTCATTTGAATGCAATTTTTGGTAGCTTCTGTTAACTCATTGGATTGCAAACTTTTAGAAGATGGAGAAAATATAGAGAATTTAATCCTCTGTTTAATTTGATAAATGCTATCGTATTTAAAATGTACAACGTATAGTTCGGTTTATATTTAAAGTATATAACATGTAGTTCAATTTATAAAATATATAACATGTGGTCCAATTTATATTTATATTTGAAATACGTTATTGTTTAATTTTTGTCGAATAAAAACGTCTGAAATTTCAATCCTTACTTTTGATTTGATTTTCGTTCAGACCAAAATAGATGAATAATGAACAATAATACTTCAATTCTACATAGTCGAATTTAAAATTATTCACATGATTTCACAATAACTACAAGTGCACGTGTGTGCATTACTTTTTCCAAAGAAATCTAAACAATTGTCTTCCTTTATCTTCGATTAATTTCCGCTGGAAGAGACAACCATCGTTCTGTCACTGAATTTAACTTCGATAATCGTCTCTGTAAATTAATCTCGCGCGACACTTGGAAAAAAGAATGGCTCGATTCAAAAAAAAAAAAAAAAAAAAAAAAAAAAA